TCTTATCAATTGGTTATTATTGACCATTATAACGAGACATTTACCACTGATTATAATAAGTCAATATACCACTGTCACTTCAAGCCAATATGGTCGATTCTGAAGTTGTGGTCATTAATATTTCCGTGGTCAATGATGAGGAATACAAGAAGGTGATCACATTAATCAAGACGATTTACCACTCTAACATTGACCAACTAAGGAAGTCAAAAAGATAGAATATTAATGAACTTGAATTCGTGGATATTGATAACTTTGTGGTCAATACTTACAAAATAGTGACCGCATAGTCCAAATGTATTGATGTCAGTCTAGTATTAACCTGCATTACTATAGCCAGAAGGTGAGATTTAATATTGATCACTGCTGTCCTGCGGTTATGACCAGGTATGCAGGACGTAATGAGGGGGAGACAGGTGCCTCATTAGGCCCAGGTAGTGGCACCAAATTATACCAGGTATGTCAGGTAGATTACCCCTTTAAAATTACAGCTCTCTCTCTCTCTCTCTCTCTCTCTCTCTCTCTCTCTCTTATCATCTTTCTTTATTCATTTTCCTTGTCTTAGATTCCAGCTCTTGTTCCATCTGACTATAATTCTTGTCTTATGGATGAAAGTTCCCTCGTGATGTGGACTCGTAAGGAAAAAAAAAGTTGTAGTGAAAGTTTGAAAATACAGTGAAAGTTTAACAAAGAACAGTGAAAGTTGTTGTGAAAGTTTGAAAATACATTGAGAGTTGCAGTGAAAGTTTAAGAATGTTCAATGAAAGTTTAAGAAAGTACAGTGAAAGTTGTATTAAAAGTTTGAAAGTATTGTGAATGAAAAGAATATTTAAAGAGAGTATTTCTAGAAAGTACAGCAAAAGTGTAGACAGCTAAGAGAAAGCATTAGCTCTAAAATTTATATTAAGATTTAAGAAAGTTTAAAAATAGTGAAAGTAATGAAGATTTAAAGAAAGTAGTTCATCAAAAGTATAGGAGAATATGCTATAGAGTATGAGAAAATAGTGAACATTTTACCTGCAAGATAAAACACACACACACACACACACACACACACACACACACACACACACACACACACACACACACACACACATTAACAAGACAAAACACCTCACCACAACACAACACAACACAACACAACACAACACAACACCCACAACACAACACAACACAACACAACACAACACAACACAACACAACACAACACAACACAACACAACACACCACAACACAACACAACACACCACACAACACACCACAACACAACACAACACAACACAACACAACACAACAACACACCACAACACAACACAACACACCACAACACAACACACCACAACACAAACCCACAACACAACACAACACAACACAACACAACACACAACAACACAACACACAACACAACCCAACACAACACCACACAACACAACACAACACAACACAACACAACACAGACACATGAAACACAGAAAATCCTTCCATTTATCACCACTCATCTTGTTGCAACTGTCATACCTCTCAACACGCGTATGCAACAATTTACAATAGGATAATCCCCACCCCATTAATCTGGGTTTATAGCTGGAGGTGGTCCGAGCTAAAGTCACATTAAATCCTCCTCTTATAAAAACAATCCCACATTAAATCCTCCCCCTTATAAAAAAAATCCCACATTAAATCCTCCTTATAAAAATATCCACATTAAATCTCCCCTTATAAAAAAATTCACATTAAATCCTCCTTATAAAAAATCCACATTAAATCCACCCCTTATAAAAAAATCCCACATTAAATCCACCCTTATAAAAAAAATCCCACATTAAATCCTTCCTCTAAAAAAAAAAAAAATCCCATGAAAAGAGAATTTGCATAGTGAGAAAATCCCAAATCCCCACCATTCAGAGAAGTAATCTGGCTGTGTAAACAGTGTGTGTGTGTGTAGGGGGAGGGAGGGGGAGGTGTCATGGTTTTCTTACCTGTGTTAAAATTCTTGAAGAGGATTTATTTTATTTTTCGTCTCTTTTTTTTATGTTATGATGAGTTGACAGGGGGGAGGGGGAGGTTTGGGTTTTGTTTGTTTGCCTTGTTTGCTCTCTTGCTCTATTGGAGTTATTTAATGCATCTTTATGTTGACTGTCTTGACCTTTTCCTCCTGCTCTTCCTTCCTTCTCCTCTTTTCTCCTTCTCTTTCTTGCCTCTTCTATCTCTTTCATAACTTCCATTTCCTCCTCTTCCCTCTCCTCTTTCTCCTCCTCCTCCTCTTTCTCCTCCTCCTCCTCCTCTTCTCTTCCTCCTCCCTGCTATGGCGTCTTTCTTCTCCTGGGTCACCTTCAAGCAGACGTGTTATAAGAGATGGTGGATTTATAGCAGGAGATCAGAGCAGTGTGTGTGTGTGTGTGTGTGTGTGTGTGTGTGTGTGTGTGTGTGTGTGTGTGTGTGTGTGTGTGTGTGTGTGTGTGTGTGTGTGTGTGTGTGTGTGTGTGTGTGTGTGTGTGTGTGATCATCCATTTTCCAAGTATGAATCCCTTAAGTATTATGCCTTAACCTCTTGAGTATGATGATTTAACCCATTGAGTGTGATGATTATACTCAAAGGGTTAAATCATTATACTCAAAGGGTTAAATCATCATACTCAAAAAGTTGAATCATCATACTCAAAGGGTTAAATCATCATACTCAAAGGGTTGAATCATTATACTCAAAGGGTTCAAATCATCATACTCAAAGGGGTTAAATCATCACTCACTCCCCTCACTCTTACCCGGAAATACACACACCAAACTCATAACAATGACAACCAATCCATTAATGCTTTTTAACCTCTACTTCATTCACTTTTTCACCCATAAATCCAGATCATATAAATGTCTTCTGATTTAGAGGTAAAAGGACTTTGGAAGAAGAACGAGACAATGATAAAAAAACTATTGGCTTTTATAAGAAATATTTGATAAATGACTTGTAATCCGGATTTATGAAGTTTCTTACGGTAGGTTGAGTTAAGGTGGGTTGGAGTGGGTTGGGGTGGGCTGGGGTGAGTTGGGGTGGTTGGCTAGTGGGTTGTGGCTAGTGGGGCTGGGGTGGGTTGGGGTGGGTTAGTGGGCTGGGGTGGGTTGGATTGGTAACAAGGAAGGATTGAAAGATATAGCAAGAGTTTGTGAAAGTGCTGGAAAGTGTTTAATAATTATGATGATGATGATGATGATGATGATGGTGATGATGATGATGATGATGATGATGATGATGGTGATGATGATGATGATGGTGATGATGATGATGATGATGATGATGATGATGATGATGATGATGATGTACTTGCTTAATTTTTTGTTTAAAGTCATAAATATACCAAAATATATAAATGGGTAGAGAGAGAGAGAGAGAGAGAGAGAGGAGAGAGAGAGAGAGAGAGAGAGCTGTCTGTTGCACATGGTATTTCTAATCAGAAGAGGAAGGGCTTGAGATTAATTTTCCCCAACCATTGTGTCAATCTACGAGGTCTCTCTCTCTCTCTCTTCTTTTCTTTCTTTCTCTCAGATTTTTTTATTCGAGGTATCTATGTAATTTATATACATACATACAAACATACATACATACATACTTACATAGGTGATAGAGACAAAGAGAGAGAGAGAGAGAGAGAGAGAGAGAGAGAGAGAGAGAGAGAGAGAGAGAGAGAGAGAGAGAGAGACTATAGACAGAAACATAGATAAAAAAATAAGGACAGAATGAGAGACATAGAGAGATAAACAGAAAGATAAATAAAGGTAAAAAAAGAGAAAGTAATGACCTTTCATCTTTGACCTCTAATGGTGGGGTCACAGAGATATATATTGATCTAATAAGCATAATCATTGACCTTTGAACTCTGGGTATGAGGTCACTAATATATTTGTAGGTCCTGTATATTGATGAGGAATTGTAATGATCCTTTGAGCCCTGAGACCGAATACGATATTTTACAGACCGAATACGATAGCATATAGACCGAATACGATGGCATGTAGACCGAATACGATATTTTACAGACCGAATACGATAGCATATAGACCGAATACGATATTTTACAGACCGAATACGATAGCATATAGACCGAATACGATGGCATGTAGACCGAATACGATAGCATATAGACCGAATACGATAGCATATAGACCGAATACGATATTTTACAGACCGAATACGATAGCATATAGACCGAATACGATAGCATATAGACCGAATACGATAGCATATAGACCGAATACATAGCATATAGACTGAATAGATAGCATATAGACCGAATACAATAGCATATAGACCGAATGATAATTATCTTCCAGGAGTAAATAAACTTGCTTGGTTATTACGTTGCTGGGAAAACAAAGGAGCAGTTTCATTTTTGTCTCGTGTGACCCTTAAGTCTAACACACACACACACACACACACACACACACAGTCACACACACACACACACACACAGTACAATGTCTTCTTACACACACACACACACACACACACACACACACACACAGTCACACACACACACACACACACAGTACAATACACACACACACACACACACACACAGTCACACACACACACACACACACAGTACAATGTCTTTTACACAATATCATCAATATCACACACACACACACACACACACACACACACACACACACAAGCATAACCCGGTAGTAAGTCGTTCAGTAGAGAATTACGAGGCTATTTTCCTTCCTAATCCTGCCACATTTATACCTACTAACTCTCCGTAATGAAGGAGTCACGGGGGAGGTCCACAACCTGGTCAGGGGAGTTCCAGGGAGAGTCTTTACGGAGAGTCTTTAAGGGGAGTCTTTACGGGGAGTCTTTATGGGGAGTCTTTACGGGGAGTCTTTATGGGGAGTCTTTATTTAGAAGTGACGGAGGGAGAGGCGGTGAACTGAACACTCACACACACACATACATACATACATACACACATACATTCATACACACACATATATATGCTTACCTATACACACACTCTTAAAATGATGTCTTCTTCTTCTTCTTCTTCTTCTTCCTCTTCTCCCTCTTCTTCTCCCTCTTCTTCTCCCTCTTCTCCCTCTTCTTCTTCTTCTTCTGCCCAAAACTCAGCTTCTGAATTAAACTTTCACCATATTCATCTGTTCCTCAGTGAGAGTTTACAAATAATAGTAAGACAATTAGACATTTTAACTAAGGAAAATCAATAAAACCACCAGACGTAGATGTCCAATAGAATCGTTTTGTTTAGGTTAGCTTAGGTTATGTGGGGTTAGGTTAGGTTATGTGGGGTTAGGTTAGGTTATGTGGGGTTAGGTTATGTGGGGTTAGGTTATGTGGGGTTAGGTTAGGTTATGTGGGGTTAGGTTATGTGGGGTTAGGTTATGTGGGGATAGGTTAGGTTATGTGGGGTTAGGTTATGTGGGGTTATGTTAGGTTATGTGGGGTTAGGTTAGGTTATGTGGGGTTAGGTTATGTGGGGTTAGGTTAGGTTATGTGGGGTTAGGTTAGGTTATTAATTTATGATCTAATACACAATTTGATGGATATGATAAGCATTATACTAGTTAACTCCTTTTCCTTCCCCTCCTCTCTTCATACCACACAAAGTAAACCAATCTTAAGTTTACCTCTCCCGTCTACACTCAGAAAGTTCCCCCTTGTAAATCTCTTAAGTTTACTCTCTGTGTAAACCAAAATTGAATCACATTAACTCTATTTATTATCATACAAATGGATAAAATTTAACTGAATTCGACTTTTTAGTTTTTTAGATATCTGGATGACAGGCGGACATACGTGCATACGGTATATCAACCACAGACCGATATACATACAGTACAGTCCCCTTCACTAGTGCGTTTACAGCGGCTCGTCTGGTTATATGTACATTCCCCTTCACTAGTGCGTTTACAGCGGCTCGTCTGGTTATATGTACATTCCCCTTCACTAGTGCGTTTACAGCGGCTCGTCTGGTTATATGTACATTCCCCTTCACTAGTGCGTTTACAGGGGCTCGTCAGGTTACATGTACAGTCCCCTTCACTAGTGCGTTTACAGCGGCTCGTCAGGTTATATGTACAGTCCCCTTCACTTGTGCGTTTACAGGGGCTCGTCACGTTATATGTACATTCCCCTTCACTAGTGCGTTTACAGCGGCTCGTCTGGTTATATGTACAGTCCCCTTCACTAGTGCGTTTACAGGGGCTCATCAGGTTTTGTGCAGTGTGGCAGCGCTGTATTTGTTTACATTCAACAAAAGGAAACTCGCAATAGTAATATTAATGCAATGATTTGTGGATTTTTTACATGACGAGCCCCTGTAAACGCACTAGTGAATGGGACTGTACATACGGCAATATCAATCACAGTTGCGCATCTGTTATTGGCGCCATCGACTATAGAGAGCTGGCAACACCGACGGCGATTCCATAATTGAAATTCTTCCTGTCCCAAAGTTTTTTCTCTCTGGGGATGAGTCAGATTTCAATTTCAAGTTTTGTTTTTTTATTGAGATTGACCCCACACCAAAAAATATATATATATATAAAGAGTCGATCGCGGGTAGTGATGCGAGTTTGTTTCTGATGCATGACGTCACGAGAGAGAGAGAGAGAGACCTACTATTACAGACAACAAGTTAGAGAGAGAGACATAGAGAGAGAAATATTATCTTAAACCTCTCTGTGAACAGCTCTAAGGTACAATAGGTTCTCTCATATTGTCAGTTCATTCAGACTCCCTCACTAGTAACCTACGTCTACCTGTACAGTAATAAGGTCTCTCTCACTAACTTAACACCTACTGGGACAGCCTCAACATTCTCAAAAGGTTTCGAGAACGGTTTCCTTTTACTTGATTTTCTACATGTGTTTGTGACTCTTTTCATGGTCTCTAAAATAGATCTTGTTTAGTTTTCTATTCCTTTGGTGTTAGTGGTATTTAACAATGCGTCTTTCCATTGTGTTCTCTGGTGAATATTGACGTCTTTCAGAAAACCTAAAACAACTCTATCTTGGTGTTCTCTGTATGTGTCTCAGGTTTCTTAATGGTTTCAAAATCACCTGTGACATTTATCGGTATCGAAAACTCACATACAGGTAAATCTGTTTTGTACATAAGGGGCTATGTTGATGTCTCAAGAACGACTCCATTTAATAATTTAGAAACCGTGACAACAAACTTATATTTTAATGTTTTCTATTACAACAATATTGCGTATTTGGTTTCAAGTCAGTGACCCAAGGAAGTACAGAATATTTTGACATTATTTCACCTTTTCCATACATGCCACATCTCGTAAATACCTCCTAAATGACCCCTCACCACTTATGACCCCCTATGACCCCTGACCACCCATGACCTCTGACCCCAACATCCCAACCTCCTTCCCTCCCAACCAATCATCTTCGTCCAAGTTTATTTTTTTTTTGGGGGGGGGGGAAGGGAGGGGAAGGGAAGGGAGGGGGGAATATCATTATACTTAGTTCAACTCTCGTATATATGTGACCTTTCATGGACAATTGACCTTATATCTTTAACCTTAATGCTGGTACACGCCTCCCAAAACCTCTCCTCTTCCTCACTTGACCCCAACTAACCTCTCTCCCTCTTCCTCCTCTTCCTCCTCTTCACAACCCCTGTCATCTTAAGCAAAATCTTTATTCTTGAGCGTAAGACAAATCGCGGTCGTGAGTCGCTAGAGAGAGGTATAAAAAAAATCGTGGAAGGAGCATTTACGACTAGAGGATTCCCATATTTTTCCCCTTCTCCCTCTCTCAGATTTTTTCCATTTTTCCTTAGTTTTCCTTCATGTTTTTCCTTCATTATTAACACCACGTTTCATTTATTTATGGAATATTTAGCTTCAACTTTTTTTTTCATGGTTTTCCTGTATTTTTTTATCTTGTTATTAGCTTCATTATTTTTTTCATAGTATTTTGTCTTGTCACTTTTTTTTTATTTTTCCATTTTCCATTTTTTTTAAATTTCATGTTTTTGTTAAGTTTTCCTGATTATTTTGTTTCTAATTATTAACCTTATCTTTAACATCATTTTCTTTTATTGTCCTTAGTGTCTTGTCTTGGTCTCACCTTTATTTCTCTTCATTATCATTTCTACATCTTATTCCATATTAATATTGTCTTTATTTCTCATTTTCCTATTTCTCTTAACATACCCTTCGGATTCTTCCTCATTATCGCCGTCTTGCCTCTCATAATTTTCCTACATATTCCTGTTATACAAAAATTATATCTTTATTATCATCATATATATTCTCTATCTTTATCTATCTTACTTTTCTTCATACATTCTTCCTCTTCCCCCCATCATCAAGTTTATGTCCTACTAAGTTATCACAGTTTCTCACCTCCTCTTCGAGTCCTCTATTCCCCCTGTTATCAAATTTGTGTTTTATATTTTCACATTTTTTTTCACATCATCGTATTTTTTTTTTACAGGATCGAGGTCGTATTTCAATGAAGGCACCAGGTTAGGTTTGGTTAGGTTAGGTTAAGTTAGGTTAGGTTAAGTTAGGTTAGGTCAGGTTAGGTTACTAATCCATCTTGAACTAACCTAAGCCAATCAAATGCCAACCCAAGCCAGCCATTACGTCAAACACTCAATAGAATAAGAACGATTAATATAACCATCTTGAAGGCGAAGTCTCTCGTAAAGGCCAAGAGATAATATACTGGACTATCTCTCTCCTGCGTGTCGTGTCAGCTGGTCTCTGTCTCCCAAACTGCTTATGAGAGATTAGAGTGAGAAGTGTGTGTGTGAGAGAGAGAGAGAGAGAGAAAGAGAGGAAGGGGGGGCGGGGAAATTGAAAGTAAGAGGTAAATGTAGAGATGAGAGAAAGGAAATTAAAGATAAGAGAGTGGTAGTGATGGTTAAGAGAAAGAGAGAGTGAGAGATGAAAGTGAGAGAAAAAAGAGAAAGTGGGAGATAAGAGAGAGAGAAAGTGAGAGATAAAGAGAGAGAGAAAGTGAGAGATAAGAAAGTAAGAGAAAAGAGAAAGTGAGAAATAAGAGAGATAGTGAGATAAGATTGCTTTCCTTGAGTCTCTGAAGGAAATTCTTTATTCATATGCACTTAAATGAGGCGATAAATTTCCAATACCAATAGTCTGATATTTACCAATTATTATAAAGATCTCAGTCACCAAGTGTGTATATTACATAGACTGTGATGCTCCTTGCCAAGTATTGCAAAGTTTTCAACATAATATTTTAATTCGTCGTTTTTATTTTGCAATATTCTCCCTCACCAATTGATTTTAGATAACCTGATATCCGGCAATTCTTGTTTTTTTTTTGTTTTTTTGAGAGAGAGAGAGAATCTGTAATTCGCCAACGCTTACAAGATCAAACTCGTATTAATATTTTTGTAGCACTTATCGTATCATCTTGCCTTTACTGTACTATTAAAACCATTATATCATATAGTGTCTCGTAGATATAACACTATGTTACGTGTAATATTCCAGATGATACTAAATGTTACATAATACTTCCTTGAGATAAATGTACAGTATATATCAGGTGCCTTCAAGAGAGCTCAGGTTCTCAATTGACTCAGCCATGTCAATATTGTTATTATTGTCCAATCTGTATCTGTATTTTTTCTGGCTAAATAAACTGTTTCTATATCAATTCAATAACGAACACTTAAATCCTGCAGACTGTGTAACAAAGATACAGTAATTTGTTCTAAAATGCTAAAGATAAAATGCTGTGTAAAGAATTGTGCCTTCAACAATTAGACAAACTCTGTATTAACTTTTTATCAGCTACCAGTCGATGAAGGAACAATAAAACTGTAAGATATGATCAGGAGACGCGCTTCAGTAGACCAAGGTTTGCAAGTTGCATTTTTCAGGCGTGAGGAAGAGGTTCTTTTTAATTAAATCTTGACCCAGGAGTATTTCCAAGGTTAGGTGCCTAGTATTCAGTAATCAGTGAATATAACAACAAAACAGACATGAAGCTTCTGAACCACAGATCTCAAAGGCATCAAGGAGATGAAGGGGAGCGGGAGAGCTGGAATCCTAGAGCCATTCCCTCTCAACATTCTCAAACATTCACCAGCAGAATGTATACCAAGTGCTTGCATAATAAACCAATGGCATTTAAAATTTGTGTCATGTTATATTTCGTAATTATAGTCCAGTTTTAAATGATATGGCATAACCCAGTACACCACCATGACATCACCCAGTACACCACCATGACATCACCCAGTACACCACCATGACATCACCCAGTACACCACCATGACATCATCCAGTACACCA